GGAAACCAATTTGACAATAAATTTCATATATAAAAAAAAAATATGGCACACAAAAGAACTTACCTGCTTAGCACCTGGCTTCTGCTCCGTAGGTGTCATGGTGAGCGTTTTGGTCTCTTTCTCATACTGGCAGTAATATTTGACCCAGGATATTCCCAAAGCCCCTACAATGATAGGCAAAAGTGAGCTGGCAGATTATATTTTTAGGCAGTATGGTCAATACACTCCTAAGGTGGAAAGGCTGTACAGTCTGCTCTTCATAGTCATAGTGCTTCAGATCCAGCCCTAACCCTCCCCTGAACTCCAGCAGCCCTGCAGTGCCATCAACACACAGAACATATGGAGATCCTAAAACTCATCAACTACTTTCCACATTGGCTCTAGCTTGCTCGAAATCACTCTCCTTGCCATGTCCCCTATGAATGCTTCTACTACTTATCTTATTAGTGTATGAGTTGGATACAACTGTAATCTTCTGCTCGTCTTTCCCTGTAACCTGCCATTTGACTGGTGGTTGGGTTCTGTCCATTCATTCCTTACATGCCTCTCTTCCAGCTGCTTCATCCTCTCCATCCCTTTTAGACCTGAATTAGTTCAGGACCCTATTGCTGAATTACTTTTAATGTTTTATGAAGCATTTCAGAGAAAACAAAAATTCACTATTTCTCCACAATTAACCATGTCAGTGGTCTTCTCTCTGATTTCCCCTATCTCTGATCACTCTTTTCTAGTGCATTCTCCACTCTTTAGCTAAAGGAGTATTCTTAAAACACATATCTCTATATCATTTCTTTTATAAATCATGCATGGCTTTTCCACCATCTTTAAACTCTGGTTGGCCCACAAAATCCTTCATAATGTGATATTTACCTTTCCTACTTTGTCTTTTGCCACCCTCTATGGTCCTGTATCATTGAATTACTTTCAGTTATCAAACAAAGAGTTGGTCATATATTTTTAGTCCAAATTTTCAAGACATATTTAAGACTTAATGGGTCACCATTAATAATTACAAAAGGATTACAGGTATAAACCAGGGTTATTCTTGGCAAACCAAGAACCTGAAAATAGATTACATCCTCACATACCTCTGTGCCTGAGTAACATGCAATGGTATATACACGGAAATTTCTTCCCCCTTTTTTTTTGCCTATCAAACTCCCACTCATAATTCGAGTTCTAATTCAAACATTACTTCCTCAGTGAAGCCCTTAGATATATGCCCCAAATGCAATGCTCAGCACATTTCCTTATAATTCTTGACATAGTTGTCTATCTTCCTCCTCAGACTGTGAACTTGAAGGCAAAAATCAAGATTGATTCAGTTTTTAAAATCCCCCAGTGCACTGCATATTGTCTGGAAAAAAAAGGATGCTCAATAAATATTCAACTGAGTAGCAATGTCATATCCATTTGACAAATTAGAAAACTGGAGCTAGTTGATATTATAGCCAAGATTGCAAACTCATTATTTCCACCTCTTTTATAATATAGCAGTAGTTCTCAACCAAGGGAAATTTTGCCTCCCAAGGGACATTTGGCAACGTCTGGAGACATTTTAGGTTGTAGTACCTAGGGAGTGCTATTAGAATAAAGTGAGTACAGGGCATAGATGCTGCTAAACACCCTAAAATGTATATTATCCGCCACCCCCCTGACAAAACAAAGAATTACCCAGCCCAAAATGTCAATAGCACTGAGATTGAGAAATACTGCAATATAGAGTTGAAGGGATACATCTGAAAAGTGGAAGAACACATCTTTGAAAAATATCAAAAGTTAATTTCTCAAAGAGAGGAAAAGCATGATAATATCAATGCTTAAATGCCATGTTTTGTGAATTGCAGTAGTTTTTTGCCACTGGTAACATCTGAGTAGCTTCTTCTTCCTACTTCTCAGGTACAATAATTATGGGCAGGGCTGAAATCACAGGTTTTGGGAGCACTGGGTCATAGTTCATAAGGAAAAGCAAACAGCACATGCAGGTTTTCATGATGTTATTTAGGAGGTAGGAAGGCTTGAATCTTCTGCAATATTCAGTGAGTGGATAAGTTAACTCATTTTCCTTGGTCAGCAATGAACAACTGTCATCCCATTGAAATCACAATGGTTGTTGTTTAGTGCTTTAAGAGCAACCATGTGCTCCTAAGGCAGTGAGAAGTATAGAGTATAGTGATACGAGCATAGGTTTTGGCATTTCACAGAATGGAGTTTACTCTTAGGGCTGTTACTTGATAGTTGGGTGACTTTCAACTAGTGATCTCTCTAAACCTCAGTGGCCTCAAGTAAAATGGGTATGATAAGTGGTTTTAATGATCAAATGAAATAGTGTATTTAAAGTACTTAGCACCATGCCTGCCTGGCACATAGCAGGTGTAATAAATATTATTTTTTTCCTCTTTTCCCTTACCACTTTTTCCCCCCATCAGAGCCATCAGAAGGATTAAACAATTAACAATCCCCATTTTGAATCACAGAGAAAAACCTTAAATCTTATCATCCCAGACCCTTTGTAAGACAAATTCCTAACCTCCCCCTCCAACTTCCCCTTCATTTTTTTTAATCCACTATTTCCAGACTGTTCTCCAAAGAGGTGTAGCTGTCAAGGGTCTGTGAACAATATAGGTGCCTGGAGTTTGGAGAGTGGCAAGTAGGTGACAGTCTACTGAAACCCAATGGGGATCCCTATATTCCCACACACATTTCTCTTGTGTATAGAGATAGCCTTCGATGGTTGGCTGTCCTGGAAGTTTGCATGTCTGGGGAGCTTCTTTCATCCTTTTCTTAAGTTCTTCCATCTCTTCCCGAGTACTGGAGAAATGATTTCTTGTCTGTTAAGACATTATCATCATAATTATTATCATTATCACCATTATGATATCACCATTATCACCATTATCATTATCACCATTATCACCTTATTAAAAAGCATTTATTGGTCAGAGATCCAGTGCAGAGTTTTCTTGGTTTTCATTATATGCTACAACACAGCAGAAAACAAATGTTGAACGGCATAGTGATGAGAAAACAATTTTATGGAGTGTAACAGTACTAAAGACTAAAAGGGAAACAGAAACATAAATAATATAACAATAAAACACATGTGGGAGACTTTTATTTTCTAATGGGAATGACATAAGGCTCCAATAAACAAGGGCTCTTAGAATTCTGAGCACCAGACTGACTTCCACTTTACAAGAAGGGAGACTATAAAGAAGGTTCCCAAAGATAATATTATCATGGCAACTTTTACGTTTTGCCTCAAGTAAAGTTACTGCCTATTTGACTCTGAATCAAATTCTAGCCATTAGGATAAAATACATGACAATGTGCTCTTTGAAGATAGATCAACTGAAAAGTTATGTTTTCATATTCATGAAAAACAAAAGCTAATGGTAAGAAATAATATATGTACAACTACACAACTAAACACAATAGCAAAACACTGTTTGAAATATGGGTAAGAAAATCACTAGAGATAGGTCCTTAGCATCTAGCCTCAAGATTGTTATGTCAGTCAAAATGGTGATCTGGGCTACCCTATCTTTTTGGGCCTACTCTATTGATCATCCTGTGAATGAATTCATCATGTACATAGATACAAGGGGTTTTATTAAACTCATACTTCTCAATTTCTTTTTTGAGGAAGATTCAAATGATTAACCTGGTTATAGGGATATTTTATAAATCCAAAGACACGGGCTCTCACATTCTGGTGAAGGTGAGTACCCAGCAAGAAATTTAAAAAACTACTCTAAGTCAAGATCCTCCTAAACAACCAAGTGAAGTTTATGTCCACTACAACTTACCAACCTATTTAATATAAAAATACTCTGTAAATTTTATGCAATGTAACAACTAGTCCAAAATCACTATCTCAGTGACGCCTTCTCTAACTGCACGAGGCAGTCAATGTTCTACTTTCTGTGCTGCTTTAAAAATTTTGGTTGTAACACTATTGAAACACTTATCACAAGGAATTATGATGTGTTCCAGTGTTTATGTCTCCTTCATGCAAGAAACTGTATGTACCCTGAGGAAAGAAAAACTAACATGCATCATTATGGTATGTCCAGTGTCTTGTAAGATGTCTGGCACAAAGTATATATTATATCCATAAGTATTCATTAAATGTAGTTAAATAAATGAATGAGAAAAAAATATATATGTTACAAAGATGGGAAGACTGTGCCTATGCCATCTATAAGAACTAGCATTTGAAAGAAGGTGAATAAAACCTTTAGATATAATTTATTTAACTCTAGTATTTAATGAGAAAAGGAAGAGAGGGGAAAATGGACATTTGTGGTCATAAAACTCTTAAGTGTCTAGACTGACCAACATGGAAGTAGCATAAGACCTGTGCTTAAACAAGCCCATAGCTGGTTTCTGATCTGGAAGAGATGTGGTAAATTAGCAACATTTAATAAATATTGGATAGATAGAAGTAGTAGTGGGTGGAGGGGTAGGTTTGAGCAACAATAAGTCTCAAAGACTGGGGAGAGTTGAAACTGAAAGAGCAAGAACAGTCTAGCACACAAAAATATTTGTGATCCATACCAATATGTCCTGACAAATTGGCTAGACTGCAATAAACTGGGATTTCAAGGTTAAAGTTATTGGGGCTAAAATCCAACTGGAATGTGGGGACAGGTGAAGAAACCCACATGCAAACTCACATTCTGCAAACTGAGCTGGAGCTGCTGTTTGTATGGGAGAAAATCCTGTGTGAGCTCTACAGTCAAGCTGTTGGAAATGAAGAGGCTATGAAGAAAGGCCAAGACCTAGGGAAAACATGTAAAAATAAATTTATCACCAGCATCTTCTCATTATCAAATAAAGGAAAAAGAAACACGGAAAATAAATTCCATAGCGTTACACAGTATAGTGTTAAAAGTAATCATGAAAACAAAAACAGGTGTACATAAAGCCATTCTCTTATTAGGTTAAACATTTACACTGGAATTAGTTCCAGAAAATAAGAACTAATAACAAATTTGTTCATTCAGATCATTTTCAGATAGCATATAAAACCATTCATAATTTGGATAGTATGGGAATAGACTGTGTCTTTTCTCTTTATATCTTCAGAATTGTCACAGAGTAGGTGCTCAATTAATATTTGTTGAATAAACAGATAAGTGAATAAATGAATAAAGTAAGATTCTGTACCTTAATGAAGACTGTCATAATGCTAAAATATTCACGGAGTGTGAACCCATTTTTGAGTTAGAAATGTTTCAGGGGGGTTTCAGAATAAGACATACAAATGATCAATCAAACATTTTTAATGTTACAAATATTCAACCTCAATAATCAAATACACATAAATAAAAACAAAGAAAATATGATTTCAGCTATCAAAAACAAACCTTTAAAAAATAATACTCAATTCTGCCAATAGTAAAGTGTAATAAGAAGTAGTAATAATTGTTCTATTCTTTTTAGAAAATAAACAGGTAGGTGCATATAAATATGCACACAGATAACACCATATGCATATAGACATGCATATATGTATAAATACAAAAACAAACTATATATATGTATATATACATAAATACATATAAAAACTATGTACATATACACACGTATGTGCTGCATATATATGTGCATGTGTGTGTGTATAAACGTATATGGGTGTGTATACCACATACATTGTCATATACACAATCTTTCTGTTTCTCTCCCACCCTTTCTCATCTCAGGAAATGACACTACTACCCACTCGGTCAAGCCAGAAAGTAAAGAATCATCCCTGATTTCTCTTCCACTCACATCTGAATCCAAATTGTGTCAGTTTTATCTCCAAAACATAGCTCTAATCCAGCCATTCTTTTCTGTTTGAACTTCCACCACCCTAACCGAAACCAACATCTTTTCTTGCCTAGACCACTGTAGTAGCCTCCTAACTGGTTTCCTCACTTTCACTGTTGGTCTCTTTTAAGCCATTCTCCACACAACAAAATCAGCTCATGTCATATTCTGTTTAACACTTATCAGTGGTTTTCCACTACACTTAGACTAATATCCAAACTTTTTACCATGCTTACAGGTCATGTGCCTTCCTATCATACATTAATCACTTCCTGCCCCTCTCCTTTTCTATTGCCAGTATCTAGAGGCACTAATCTTTTCATTCTTCAAGCACACCATTCTTTCCTAACTTAAGGACTGTGCACATGTGTTTTTCTGTGTCTGGAGTATTATTTCTCCATTATTCATGTGGCCTCATCCTCTCTTTCTTTAGATCTTATCATAAATGATACTTTCAGAGGTCTTCCTTGACCATCTACTCTAAAGTAGCTGCCCATTCTTGTTATTGTTTTAGCCATTATCACAACTTACAATTAATTTTATTTATCTGTATCCTTGTTTCCCTTCTGTCTACCCAATACGAATGTAGTCCTCATAAAGACAGAAACAGAGTCCGTCTTATTAATTATAGAATACCCAGTGTTTAGCACAGTGCCAGTCATAGAAGTTCAATTAATTTTTTTGTATAAATGAATACACACTTGATTGCATACATATATATACAGATACATACAAATGTGAGCACAGATACACTTGTACATAGATATACATGTTCATGTGCAAAACATATACATGTACACACATGTTCACACATGTGTACACACACACCCACATAAGTAAAAAGGCATACACAAATAGAGAAAGAAATACTGTAGATACACAGAAAACTTAGAAGGAAAATGCCACAATATTAACAGTGATTACCTCTGTTTTGGAAATTTATTCTTTTTGTTTTATTTTGACTATAGTTATTTTTAGCTTTTCTGCAATAAAAGTACATTTTTTATGCTAGAAAATAAAAGTTGTTAAAATTCCACATAGTTGTCAAATCAAAGCACATCACTTTTATGCTCAAAGAGATGTAAGTAGAAAAAAATAAAGAAGATAGAAGTAAAAACAGTACAGAAGTAAAAACAGTACAATAGGAAGTCATTGAGTGCAAGGGACATGAGCTTGTAGCACATTGATTGGTATCTGATAGGCCCTTTAGAAGCTTTATGAAAGCATGAGAGCAAGGAAGGGAGGAGAGCAAGATAAAATGAAGGGTGACCGAGAAATCAAAGGAGGGAGAGAAGGAAAGAGGAAGCAAAGAAAGAGAAAGAAAGGAAAATCATAGCTAGGGAGACAAAATGGGAAAGAAGGGACACTTGGGTGGCTCAGTCAGTTGGGTGTCCGACTCTTGATTTCAGCTCCAGTCATGATCTCCTAGTTTGTGGGATCAAGCCCCACATTGGGTCTATGCTGACAGCATGGAGCCTGCTTGGGATTCTCTCTCCTTCTCCCTCTCTTTCTCTGTCTCTCTCTCAAAATAAATACATGAACATTAAAAAAAAGAAAATGGAAAGAAAAGAAAGGCAGAAGGGGTGGTAAGGAAGAGAAAATGTTAGTAAGAAAGCAAGAACAACACAAGCTGGTGTGTCTATTTTCTTGACATTCATTATTAAGCATTAAATATCCTTCACCATCTTTGAGATTTCAATTTTATGATCAAAGTTCTCTGCATTTACCGGGAATTTGGTAAATATTTTTAGACTATTCATCAACAGATAGAACTTACTGGCTCCACAATATTGAACTTCTTAGACTCCTGAACTTCCTGGATTTGATAAACATAATCAAGGGAGGACTCAAAGAAATTATGCCTCTCTTTGTCCACCTGGAGGTCTGCCTGTAGAAGAAGAGCAGCAAAAGTCACATAACAGCATAATCATTCACACAAGTCACTGCTTATGCACTCAACAGAATGCTAGAGCTAGGAAATAATTTAGCCACCAAGTAGTGATCTTACTCCTTTATTTTACAGATAGGAATTATAAGTCAAGAAATAAAAAGCGATCAATGGGAAACTTCTGGTGTCTGGTCGAACAATTAAAAAGCTTGCAAGTTATCATAACCATCCTCACAAAAAAACAATGCTGAACAAGTTGAAAATCAACAACTTCTCTTAGAAACAACAGAGAACTGAAATCAGAGGGAAAAGAGCTGCCTCAAATATTGGATAGACAGGTCAAAATGGAGAATCAGAGCTTATGAGAGCAAAAGCCCCGAAGCAGAAACCCGTTGCTATAGCCAGTATCAGACTATCAGTTATTTAAGAACAACTCTATAAGGAAATCCAAAGACAACAGGGAAGACAGAAACAAAAATACCACAGGAAATTTTGGCCTCTGAGAACAATATCTAGAATAAACGAAACATAGCCTAACAGCAAACTAAGTACAGCCTAACTCCTATCTATATAAACATAAAGCCTCATGCTAAAGACCTATTTACCTCAGTTCCTTTTACCCAGAACATTACACCTGGCTTTCAACAAAATATTACAAGTCATTCAAAAGGGGAAAAGACAACAAAAACCAGTTTGAAAACAAACATAAAAACCAAACAGATAAGGCAGAGATACTGGATGGTGGAATTATTAGACAAGAAATTATAGTGAGGGCTCTAATGGAAAAGGAGGACAATACACAAGAACAGATGGGTAATACAAGTGGAGATATGAACGGTAGGGAAAATAATAAAAAGGAAATGCTAGAAATAAAAAACATTAGCAGAAATGAAGAATGCCTTTAATGGGCTTATCAACAGACTGAACAAGGTTAAGGAAAGGATCAATGAACTTGAAGATATGTTAATAGAAACTTCAAAAACTGAAATGCAAAAAGAAAAAAAAAAGAATGAAAAAGATGGAGTAGTGTATTTAAAAGGTGTTGGACAATTATAAAAAGTGGAAGATACACATACTAGGCTTTCTAAAAGGAGAAGAAAAAGAGGAACATAAATACTTAAAGTGATGACTAAAATTTTTCCAAAATTAGACAGATAAGAAACAAAAGATTGAGAAAGCTTAGAGAACAATAGTATAAATACAAAAAAATTACATGTAGGCATATCATATTCAAATTGCACAAAGTCAAAGGCACAGAGAAAATCTTGAGAGAAGCAGGAGAAAATCTACCTTATCTAAAGAGGAGCAAGAATAAGATTTCTCTTAAGAAACAATGCAAAAATAAGAGAGTGGAGTGAGATGTTTAAGGTCCTGAAATAAAATCACAAATTTATACTTCTGCATCCAGTAGTTATTTTTCAAAGGTGAAGAAAAATTAAAGATTTTCTCAAATAAAAATTTAAGGAATGTTTGAAGTAAACTTGTGACTGAAGAAATATTACAAGGAGTTCTTCAGACAGAAGAAAAACTATATAAATGAGAACTGTGTACCAAAAGAAAGAAAAGAAGAGTACTAGAGAAGGAATAAAGGTAAAATAAAATCACATTTTTCTTATTTTTAACTAATCTTACAGATAAGAGTTTGTCCAAGATAATAATTGTAACAACGTATTTGGTGAATATAGATTATCAAATAGTGAAATGAATGACAATAATATTATAAGTGACTGAAGGGAGCAATAGGAAATATTCTGTTATAAGTTTCCTGTACCACCCATGAAGAAGCATAATGTTATATGAAAGCATAAATGGATTAATTGTAAATGTGTATGGGAAACCAGAGTAACCACTAAAAAAGTTTTAAAAAGTATAAATCATATATGCTAGAAGAGGACATAAAAGGGAATCATACAATTTTAAGTTAAAAAAAGAGAAGGCGGATAAAAAATTAAGACAAAAATAAGCAAAGGGTAGTCAACAGTAACAAACATGGTAGATATTTATCCAACTATATCAATCACTTCAAAGGTCAATTGCCTAAGCACACCAATTAAAATGTAGAGACTGTGAGAGTGCATGAAAAATAAGAGCCAACTATATGCTATGTATAACATATCACTTGAAATATAAAAGACATAGACTAAAAGCAAAGGTATGGAGAAAAAAATTCCATGCCAACAAGAATCAAAAGAAAGCTGGAATAGCTATATTAATTTCAGAAAAAGGAGACTTTAGAGCAACAAAACCTGTCAGGGAAAAAGAGGCATAACATAATGATAATGGTAAATTCTCTAAGAAGATATAACCACCCTTATTGTGTAATAGGACATCAAAACATGGGAGGCCAAAAACTGATAGAACACCAAGGAGAAATAGGTGAATCCACAATTGGAGTTGGAAATTTCAACCTTCCTGTCAGTAATTGAGGCAGAAAATCAGTAAAGACATAATTGAATTGAACAGCACCATCAACCAACTGGATCTAATTAACATCTGTAGAACATTTCATCCAACAACAGCAGGATACACCTTATATTCAAGCTCACACAGATCACCATGATCAACCACGTTCTGGGACATACAATATACTGGAATAAATTTTCAAGAACAGGAATCATGAAAAGTATGCTCTCAGACCACAAATAAATTACACTAGAAATCAATAACAAAAAATAGCTAGAACCTGCCAAAATACTTAGAGATTAAACAGCACATTTCTAAATGACACATGGGTCAAAGAAGAATACTTATGAGAAATTAAAAAGTATTTTAGACTAAACAAAAATGAAAATATAACTTAGTATTTGTGGATGCTGTGAAGGCAATGCTTACAGGAATGTTTATAGCATTAAACCATATATTAGAATAAAATAAATCTAAAATCAATAATTTAAGCTCCCACCTTAGAAAAATAAGAGCAGGAGAGAGAGGGAAGATGGCGGCGTAGGAGGACACTGGTCCTGCTAATCACTTAGATTCCACCTACACCTGCCTAAATAACCCAGAAAACCACCAGAGGATTAGCAGAACGGAGTCGCCGGAGCCAAGCGCAGACGAGA